CAAACCTGGTACAAATTTTCTAGATACTATAAGATAACCAATATAAATACAAATAATAAATTGAGTTCAGTTTTTCAATGATAAAGAAAACCCAAAACTCAAGGTTTGTTATTATAAAGAAGACCTGTAACTCAAGATTTGTTCTTTTTTTTTATAATTTATTATTATATTTTTTTTAACTTTATAAATTTTTTTTTTAATAATTAATTATTTATTTTATTACTTTAAGGTAACAAATCTGATAAATAACATCTAATAATTGGCATGCCTGTAACAAAATTATGGTACTATCCATATTGGGAAAATTGTTTTTGCTATAAAGTATGCACAGTATATAACTATTATTCATTCCAATTTTATTTTTCATATGCAAGATGGTTTTTATTAATTTTAAAATATAAAAAAAAATAAACATTAGCATATTATATTCTTGATCACAACTCAGAACAAATGAATATTAGGATGTATATTTCGACTGGATCAAACCTCTAAATATTGTTAAGTTAATGAAAATTTGACTATATATACAAAACAAAAAATATATACAAAATATTTTTAACAATGCATATTTTTATGAAAAGAAATGGTATTTAAATGTCAAATCTCAACATTGCATGGGCAAACTTACAGATGCAGCCAGCACTTTATTGATAATTTAATAATAATAGTAATAATGAGTAAAATAAATAATAGCAATAAGAATGATAATTGCAAAAAAAAATCTATAACATTTCATTTGATTTAATTTATTTAATAATTTATCCAAATATGATTTGAGATCTACCATCAGGTTGTTTCTAAATACTGAAATAGACAAATAATAAAATTACTATTAAATTATAAATATATAAAAGAATTTAATGTAATACTTGCCAGCTTGAAGTCTTTGAGAATGTTGTGTAGGTTTACGATTCAGTTGTGTTTAATCATCGCCAATAGAGAATTGTTCCTGATTCTTATTTGAATTGAACTGATTATTTGTCACATCTATTAAAAAAAATATATATATATAAAATTTGTATCAAAGATTTACAATACTTTTTGATATTTCTAAAAAAAACAAATATTATAGTCATCTGGTTCAGAGTTGAAAATTGTGAATTTACTACCAGTATTACCAGGTTGATTGACACAACTAATAGTATAAATACAAATAATAAATCGAGTTCAGTTTTTCAATGATAAAGAGAACCCAAAATTCAAGCTTTGTTATTATAAAAAAAACCTGAAACTCAAGATTTGTTATTATAAAGAAGACTTATAACTCAAAATTTGTTCTTTTTTTTATAATTTATTATTATTTTTTTTTTACTTTTTAAAAAAGTTTTTTTAATAATTAATTATTTATTTTATTACCTTAATTTAACATTGTTGTTTAATATTATTACATATACTTTAATGTTTAGACAATTTTATTTTCGTTATTATAATTACTGCTAAATTATGTCATTCTATATACTTATATATTTAAACAATATAGTTATTGTAACTATTTAGCTTTATTATAATTATTGCTAAATTATGTCATTTTGTATGCTTACATGTTTAAATAATCTAGTTATTGTAATAATGTAATTTTATTATAATTACATTTAATAATAAAGCTAATTCATATAACTTAAAGTTTAAAGCTTAATTAGAACTTGAAGGATATATAAATAGGAGTTGCTTTCTTTATAATTTTTTAGATATATTTTAAAATGAGTAATTAGTTATTTTTATTATAAACTTTAAGAGAATGTGAGTCTTGTATTTTGTAAATTATTTAATTATTTATTTCTATTCTAATTTTTTTTTTACAAAACTCAAGCCTCATGTTCTGTTTAGCTTATTCTTTTATTACTACAAATCTCGAGTCTTGAGTTTTGTGCAATTTTATTTAATTTAATTTTATTTAATTATTTATTTCTATTCTAATTTATTTTTTACAAAATTCGAGCCTTGAGTTCTGTTTAGCTTATTTCTTTTATTATTACAAAACTTGAGGCTCGAGTTCTATTTAATTTAATTTTATTTAATTTTATTTAATTATTTATTTTTATTCTAATTTTTTTTTTTTACAAAACTCAAGCCTCAAGTTCTGTTTAGCTTATTTCCTTTATTATTACAAAACTCAAGTCTCGAGTTCTATTTAATTTTATTTAATTTAATTTTATTTAATTATTTATTTCTAATCTAATTTTTTTTTTTACAAAACTTAAGTCTCGAGTTCTATTTAATTTAATTCTATTTAATTCTTTATTTCTATTCTAATTTTTTTTTTTACAAAACTCAAGTTTCGAGTTCTGTTTAACTTTTTTTTTATTACTATAAAACTTGAGTCTTGAGTTCTGTTTAATTTTATTTTAATTAATTTATTTAATTATTTATTTCTATTATAATTTTTTTACAAAACTTGAGTCTTGAGTTCTGTTTAATTTATTTCTATTTAATTAGATTAATTAATTAATTTATTTTATTCTAATTTTCTTTTTTTACAAAATCTGAGCCTCGAGTTCTGTTTAATTTATTCCTATATAATTTTTTTTTTAAAATATAAATTTTTTAATAATTTTATTTTTTTATTTTTTAGAATATGTTATCAACAACTTAATGCACTCATTCTACTTGGCAAGATTATTCAATATCAATAACTATATTAAATGCATCCAGTTTTTGGCAAATGAAATTGAAATTAAATATGCAGATAATAGTTAAAAATAGTTTTTTTACCAAAAGTTGGAATCAAATGAAGATTTTGATTTTGCAAGCAAAATATCTAGTAAGATAGATAACATATTACAGTCCGAGATTTTTCCAAATTTGGCAGATTGCATTTCATGTAACAGATCTCATTATAGAACATTAAAAATTGATTCCAGAATAGTCTATAAAATTTTACAAATTTTTATTGGCTCACGGTCCATACTTTTTAACCAAAAATTTGAGACATTTCATGATATCTATCGATACTAATAATTGTATACGTGAAAAGTAGAAGATGCAAGGTTTTATAATCAATAAAAAATTAATTGTAATCATTTTTTTTTAATGAAGTAAATGAGACCTGAAAAAAGGCAATTTAAAGTTTATAGTTTTTTAGTTTACTGACTTTTCACACTTTTATTACTACTTTTTTTTTTATTACAGCCTTGCGACATTGCATATTAAGGTTTGAAAGTCTTGCTAGCATAGAAATGAGTATAAATCGTGGATCTTTAAGGTTTTTTTTTTTTTTATGAATACTTTTGTAATATTAGATGTTATATGTCTAAATGTTCTTTGTAATGTAGTGGTGTCTCATATTAGTAATATTCTTGAGAATGTGAGAGAAAAAGCATACAAATTTTTTATTGAGACAAATTTCTCAGAATATTAAAACTTGAATTCTCTTGAACAATCGCTGCAGTATTTAGAATCAAAAAAAGAAGCCTTGGAATTATACTCATAAATGCGGATCAGAAAAAGTAACTGGGTTAATAAAGTTACTTTGTAAGGACAGAAGGATGCCATGCTAACTTTCTTGGATCTTAGAATAATCTTGGACCAGAAGATGGAAATATATTAACAGGTGCACCTTACAAATACACTACCCTAACTTTTTTGGTCTTGGTTGGATTAGAAGAAGGAAAATAGTATTAGTGAAAACACTGTTCTAGCTTTAGATTGTAAGGATCGTAAGGAGAGAATACATTAGCAGAGATGCACTTTGTGAAAGCATTACAATGGCTTCTTTATATCTTAGTTCGAATAATATTGGATCATAGGAGAAGGTAATACAGTTAAACCTCTCTAAATGCATAGCCGAGGGGCCTATATAAAAAAAATCAAAAAATCTTGTATTTAGAGAGGTAAAAATCTATATGTATTATATGGGTTGGGGCAAAACAAGACCATGCATTTAGAGATGTTTTTATAGACTATGCATTTAGGGAGGCCTGACTGTACTTTACTTTGTTTTTTTAAATCCAGCTTGAGATAATATTTAATGTATGTAGAAGTTGTCTTCAAGCATGGTTTTTAGTAAATATAGATGATATTTCCATATTTAGAAGATAATATATCAACCACATTCACCTGATTTTAACATTTTTCACATGCTAAATTTAAACAATTGTCGTTGTAACATAGCGAATCCTTAGAAAATAGAAATCTAGAATAAGTAACCTTGTAGTTACTATAAAGGTATAGGTTTTTTTGTTGAGGTTACTAAGAATTTAAAAATTTTTTAATATTAGAAGTACTTTGTTTCTTTGTTCCTAGAAAAGCGAATAATCAACCACCTACACTACTACCAGCCCCATACTTTCTTATGATAAAATCTGTACTAGCAAAATACAGAGAATTTATTTTTTTTTTAATTATTAGTAGTACTTTTTGTTCTTTGAAAGCCACTAGTTACACACTTTTTTTTGTAATAATAATCATTCTAGTATTATATACATTCCAATAGTCATCATTACGTAGTTTTTGTTTGATTAGGAATATTGAAAATCGATCTTTTATTATTATTGTACCAATTTCAAAAACAAGCTATATAAAAAGTTGGTCAAAAACAAGTATGTAATAAATTTACTCGACTTTTTTATTATAATTCACCTGACATTTTCATAATCACTTTAATTTTTTTATTAGTGGAATCCAATCAGCATCAATGACATCAACAACAGCTAGCATATAAATTACCTTGCGCTTTGGCTGCTTCGGTTTTGTTGCATGATAGTTCTGGGTTGTTACCATGTGAAACTAAAGAGTCTCAAACAATTCGGCATGCAGGTAGTAAATTAGCAAAAAGTCGTCTTCCCTTGTATAATAGCTTTTTTCCTGAATTAATTCCAATTCAAACACGTTTAGAAGATTTTTTTTTATGTGAAAAACACTATAACCAACTTATTGTATTCGATTTCTTACGACAAGTTCTTTTAAATGCAAATTATTCGCAATTATCTAATAAACAAAATAAACAAAAGTGACAATTACATGATGATTCTGAAAATGAATTGGTTGAAAAACAAGCTCGTATGGAGCATGCTTATAAAATAGGGGAAAAAAATACTTGTGAAATTGGCATTCAAACTGATAAGATCAGTGTACAAATTACTAATGAGACCTGTGAAATTGGCATTCAAGTATCTGATATTACGTCGCATGCTCTTGAAAGTCAAGTTTATTTACTTCGATTACAGTTAAATTCGAAAATAAGCGAGATAGAAGATCTTAAAAATCAATTAGAGTATGCATACGATTATGTAATCGAGAGTTGGGAATGTGTTCAAGAAATAGAAAAAGTAAATAAAAAGCTAACTAAAAAAAATAATACACTAAAACATAAATGGGAAAATCATTATGACAGTCAAAAAAAAAGAATTGATTCCATAATTCAAATTGCAAACAAAAAATGACAGAACGTCTATAATAATATAGAGTTCTTGATTTTAAATAAGCAACGATTTTCTCTTGATAATTTATTAAATTTTGCACCCGAAAATTGGTTAGCTAATCATAATCTCATTGTTGTTAAATTTATTAATGTTCTCACTTGTAATGATAGTAATAGCAATAATGATCATACTTTAAATGAAAATATTTTTAAAATAATGGTTGCTATTGATGCTATCTATGGATCGAGACACAAAAACTATATATCAGAAATAAATCTAGCAATAACAGGAATCAAATATTCTCTAGCACGATCTAAAACAATAATTGATATTGATAACCATATAATTAGTTCGGGTGGTTATACAAAATTCATTAATTGGTTAGAATCATTAGCAAGTGAAAGTGAACCATTACCTAAAGGGCTCTTATTTTTAGCTTTCGATAATGAACAATGCGGTCAATATAATTATCTTGATCGCAGGTATAATACTGTTATCTATCATATAGTTACAAGTTTCGGCACATTAAATATAAATCAAAATGAGTACAATCGCACCTTGGCTTTACATTTCACTAACGGATGAACAGTATGAAAAATTATATTATATCACACCTGAAATCCAAGCAGACCACGAGCTAGAATTAAAAGTATACTTATTATCAATTTTAAAAGAACTTATTGCTGAAAAAAATGAAAAAGCCAATACAATAGATCTAACTATAAAAAATCAAAAAGGTGTCGGATGTCAGTCTAAATGGTGCAAAAAATGTAATACAAAAAATATTGATAATAAAAAACACAATTGTCCTCAATGTAATGAAAAATTAGACACATAGGCTGCCTTACAATAAGAATTTGCTAATAAATTTATGCCGATTAATAATATAGACACCTAATCAAAATCTCTTGTTATAAGGTCTCATACGTATACTCATGAACCAAAAAGTTCTTATATTGATCGTATTAGTCTTACACAAAAATCAAAACCTGAGAATAGTATTATAGTTCCTGAAATGTATATACCAGATTCATTAGAATTCAATCCTAATTTAATAAATAATGTAAGAAAGGTTTTAGAATATATACAAAACATTACAGAAATAGGCCAAGGAGCATGAAGATGGCTATCTGTAACTTGTGATGGCATTCCTTATACTCTTGCTCAAAAAATTAGAAAGAACTTTCTATGGCTTATATTGATTCCCGGAGCTTTGCACGAAGAAATGAATATGCTTAAGGCATTCGTAGAATTAAATTGGTATTAATTTTTTTTCTTTTAAATTAATACGGATAATATCTTTTTTTTTTGAAAATTCTAATATTCGACTTATTTTAAGGAATATTGATATTAAACAATTCACTACTCTTCAAGGATACAGAACTAAAAATCAACTTGGGTTCTTTAAAAAATATGCTGACCATCATAAATCATAGAACTCTATTTGCAATATATACCGACATGCTGTTACATGTAAATTATTATGGTTGTACGTAGTTACGACTGAAAATCCCTCAGTTGATAACTATCTAGAGTGGGCAAAAGAACAAAATGATTATACATACAAATTAAAATTCAAACAAGTAAGATTTTCATGAGATATTAAGCATTAACTAATACTTTTTGGCTAATAAATATTATAGACATTTACCTATCTACAGGCAATCATTAATTTTCGTATAGGGGTTAGAAACAATCGACTGTTGTTGATAAATGCGGCTAGATGTATGTTTGCTCCAATATGGTCTGGCCGTAGACATCCTATGTACCGTTTAATTGAAATAACTTATGAAGAGCAATTGATGCGATTAAATCCTGAGATTAAACAGTGTATAGAACTATACTCAGTTATTTCATGATCAGGATATCATAATCAGCATCAAGGCCTTGATGCCATTCTCGAAGAAATCAATAAATCTTTAAAGGCCTTAATTCCGCCTGTACCTTTGCAAAAGCATTGGAAAATAGCAGCACGTAACTGTACAAAATTCATTAAGGTTAATACAATAGATCTGTATTCAAAAAAAAAGAAAAAAAGAAATACTTACAATTTTTTAAATAATTATTAGCTGCATCATGCATTGTTTGATATGATTGGGCATACAGATAATGAATCATTAGGCAGTTGAATACGTCCAGATTATACATTAGAATCCCAGAGATTTCGAGTTCATCTACGGAGAACCAGGTTTTTGAACCCTCAAGATAATAATCGCATATTTGAAAGTCTTGGAGGGGAGTATCTACTTAGTGAGCAACTGAAAAATTTTAGTAATTTGGCATGTGAAAGGCAAATAATGCTTATTAATGAGACATTTAAAACCAACAAGCTAAATTCCTTACCTCGACCAATACCTATTACTGCCCAGGAAAAAGCTGCTGCTATAAATGAAGAAAACTTAACAAAAAAAGAACTTTTAACAATTATCGATTCGTTGCTAAATTCTAGCAATATTCCAAATCGTTCGAAGTATCATAGATTACAGCAAAAAACTCGTAATCAATTAAAAGAAATACTACATAATATTAGAAATTTATATCAAGATGAACTTGAAAATAAAATTGAGCTAGGAAATTAAAATAAATAAATAATAAATTATTAATATTAATGATACAAGATTATATTAATTATGGTTTCTACCTTTACCAGATTAACAATTAGACATACTTCGTCAGTCTCAAAACTATTTCAATATTCTTTTACCCAATGAAGTTTCTGCGTTCCACTTTTAAGTATAGTAAAATCATAAGTGCACACACTCTTGGACCAAACTTTAACAGCATGCACTTAGAGAACTATAAGAAAAGGTGCATTTACAGGTCATATATATATATTGGCCTGAATTTGAGTGTGCATTTAGAAAGAGTATGCACTTATAGAAGTTTCACAGTATTATTTTTTTTTGTAATTCCACAACCATTTGAACAGAAAATGAGTGTGTGAGAGTGAAACCTGTAACCAATCATAGTAAATCATTAAATAAAGTTTCAGGTTTTCACTCTCACGCATATAATTGTTTACTTGATGGCTGAATACTGGAATATTACTTACTTTCAATATCGATAAATGAACGACTTTCAACAAATCTGTCATATATAGCGAAACCTCCATAAGTGCACTTTCTATAAATGCACACCCTCTTAAATTCATACTCAAATTCGGACCTAAATATATTTATGACCCTATAAATGCATTTTTTTTCTTATAATTCTCTAAATGCATGCTGTTAAAGTTGGTCTCAAGGGCATAACAAAGTTGGAATACATCTTATCTCAAAATGAAAGTTTGATCGATTGTTATCTTCTGATTCAGGTAAAGAGAAGTCATCTAATGCTTTTCAAATTTAAAAAATATAGTTTAAAACAAATTACATTCATAAATTATGATAAATTATCAAAGAACTTTATAGTACTTACGCCACCTTACTACAGCACGATGGTAATTAATCTAATTTTGCACTCTACATAAAATATTTAAATTATAGGTTAACTACATAATGCTGAATAGAAAAAAAAATAACTTTGAATAATATATAATTTATGGTTTAAAAACTATTATTGGTAAGCATTCGAAACCAAAACTGTTTTTAAAGATTAAAAATCTGACTAGCAATACATTCTAAAGCCTTAATTCATACAAATTAAGTTGGCTTATTATTTCAAAATATAGTAATATTAAAATAGATAATTTTGTTTGATTGTTATAATCCAGTTAGAGATCTTGAGTTAAGGCTTTCGCTTCGTTCTTTCATTTTTGAACTAGCACTTATAAGAAAAATTTTTAACCAATCATGTTTAGTTCTATTCAATGATTCTAGAAAATTTTTGTATCATTGTACAATGCAGATCATTGCAATATTTGGAAATATCAAATATGGAAAAATCCCAGACTGTATTAGAAGTAAGCCAGAATCTCTGCAAAGATGAAAGGATTTACAAAATCAAATATGAAGAGCTTTATATATTTTCTTTAAATAAAGATAATAGAATCTATAGTAAAAATAATAAAACTAATACTTATAAATAAATTACTAATAATTTTTTTTAATTATTAAATGTTGATAAATATAATAAAGAGGGCAGTAATACATACGAAGAAGGGAATAGTGATAGGTATAAAGAAGAGAATAATAACAGATATAAAGAAAATAATGACAGATATGATAAAGTTGATAAATATGATAAAAGTGCCAAAAATGGTAAAGATGACAAATATAATAAAGGTAACAAAAATGATAAAGGCAACAATATGATAAAGATGGAAGATATAATAAAGGCAAAGATGAGCAAACTTCTATCAAAAAGCAACATATGTCTATTAGTAATTATTTATTTATTTATTTATTTGTTCTCTTTTGCTAAAGTTTTTTTTATATATTTTAGGTATATCAAAATCTATATCTAAAATTATTAAAAGCCAACATTCAAAATGTTCTAAACTTAAAGGAATTTATACTAATATCGTCAGCAATTGTTTAATGTTAAGTGCAATTGCTTATAATTCAAATATAGAAAAAATTGAAATTTTTTCTGAAAAATGTAAAGCAGTACTTAAAAATAAAGAAGAAAATACAACACTGAAGCCTGTTAATTATACTTATGTTAAAGAATTAGTAAATAAAATTCAATTTCCAGAATATGTACTTGTGAACCTAGAAGATGCTATAGTTGGTCATGTAAGTCCATTAGGTTTTTTAATGGAGTATGAAGTATTTGAAAATAAAGCACTTAGTGAAAATAGGCTAAAAGTTGCAAAGTTATATTATAAGTTTCGATCATTAGAAGCAGGCCTTCCAGTAGTTGCTCCTTTTTATGATCCTAACTCAAGTGTACCAAAATTTACATACTATAAAGAGATTGCTAAAATTTTAAAAATTATAATAAAGCAAAATTCTATCTTAATTCAAACAGAATTTTGCTATTTATCAATTAAAGGTGCTCTTGATTTAGAATCCTATTTGGAAAGATATAATACTCAAGAAACATTATTAGAAATTGAAAATAGTAACATTCAAGAACAAATTATATTATTAAGAAAAGTACCACTCTTACCTTCTAACATTCTATCTAATGAGCAAATTATATAAACAATAGAAGAAAAAATAAATACTTTTAATATACTTATAAGTACATGTTATGAATCTATTAACAATAATGATATTATTTCTTATACCTTAGAGATTTCTTGATGAATATCTTTGAGAATTCTCTATAAATTTGATCAAGCCTATACATATTTGAAAAATTGTATAAAAAAATTAGCAACAAGACAAAAAGGAACAAAAGCAATATCTTAAGTTAATGCTCTTCTTTTAGGAAAGATTACAATTTATGAACTATTAAACATTGAACAAAAAAATTTCAATTCTTTAGAAATTAAACAAATTACCAATAATACAAATAAAAGAAAAAAAACAATAGATTCTGATAAAGTAACAATTCAAATACCTGAATTTGCTAGTAATATATTAGCTAGAAAGCTTTAAATATTTACAACATCTGGGCCACATTTAGTTGAGCTATTAGAAGTGCTTAATAATAATTGGATATTATTTGATTTAATAGATAACATTACAATTACATAGTTAGAAAATTTTAGCAAAAAGCATTAGGTAGAATTTATTAACTATATTAAAAGGTAATTACTTAAATATTTTTAATATTTCACTAATATATCTTTTAATTAATAAATATGTTTTTTTATATAAATATTTTAGTAAATAAATGTTTATTTTTTCATAAATATTTTGTAAAAAATAAATATTTTTGTATTGCATACTTATAGCATATATTGGCTTAAAAGTGATTATAACAATTTGCTATTACTGAAGTTATTTTTTATTATAATTTTGTATAAATAACAATAATGCAATACATTGTATAAAATTACTGTATATGATGTGCACAGTATATAAAATTTTTTGAAATCTATCTTTTGCACATTGTGCACATTTTTGTAAACATGATTTATAATTTAGATTTTATATACTGATGCATTAATGCAATAATACTGATCTTACGTAATTATAAAATAAATAAATATAAGTATAAATATTTTATTTTTTTTATTGATTAACTATTAAAATGTCTTCTACTAATCATAAAAACAAAAAATATTTGTGCAAATGTAATTATTGTTCAAACAAAAATAAAAATGGCTGTTAGTTACAAAAAAAAATATAAGATTCTCATTTACAGAAGCAATGATATTTTCAATGAATTAATAAAAAAATTGATGAATATGTTAATCTAATACTATTAAATAGTAATGAAAATAATAGGTATATAATTAATTTTTTATTTTAATTAATTAATTAATTAATTTTAATTGTTAATTTTTTTTTGCAATTTAAGTAATTCTGGAGATATGCAATTAGATATTAATAATGAATTTGAAATTGAATTACCTAATCTTAATGAATCCAATTCTGAATCCAATTCTGAATCCAATTCGGAATTACTTTATTTTCATAATAAATCTAAATCATTATTATCTGATTATGAATCAAATTCAGAATTAGAAGAAATACTTGAGAATGATAATAATTTTATTGAATATTTTTTAAACAATTTTGGTAATACTCAAATATTAATATTTAATTAAATTTATTATTATTTATACTTACTGTTGAATTATACAGAATCAGAATTAGAAGATTTAAATGATTCAATAAAAAAAGCTCTTAAATTACTTGAATTTAAAGCACAAAAAGGAACTTTGACAAATCAAATGTATCAAGAAATATTAGAAATTTTCGATTGTGAAAACATAACATTATATTCTGAAAAAAATTTTTAGCTAATATGGTTACTTTAACAGCAACATTTATTAATATATGTATAGATTTAGCTGTGCATTTATTGGACAATATGAGCAACTTACCAATTGTCCTATATGTAATAAACCACATTATATTAACCAAGGCACTCTTAAGCAAAAGGCTTACAAAAATGCTATATATTTTTCTCTTAAGGATCGGTTTAAAATTTAATTTAAAAATCAAAATTATGTTGAGAAAATTTTATATAGATCCACATACCATTCTAATGAAAAATCTTATAATGATATTTTTGATGGTATTTTATATAAAGAGCTTTGTCAAGAAGGATTTTTTTCTAATCCTTATGATATATGTCTTATTGAATCAACTGATGGTTACCAAATATTTCAACAAAAATGAAATGATTATTGGGTTTTTTTATATATTAATGCAAACTTACCTCCTGATGAACATGTAAAAAAAGAAAATTTGCTTATTGCCAGAATAATTCCTAAACCAAATAGTCCTAAAAAAATGGATTCATTTTTTCGATTATTAGTTAATAAGCTTAAAATATTGGAATGTATATATTTATTAATTAATAATTTTTTGGTTTAAAATAAATAAATTAATAATACTATTATATTAATAGGTGAAGTTGAAATTATTGATTATAGTAATCTAAAATTTTTATTATAAGCACATACTATTATGTGGACTAGTGATATTCTAGCAATTGCAAAAGTTTTAAATTTAACAGGTCATAATTCATATATGGCTTGCTGATTTTTCAATATTTGTGGTATATATCATAATCATATTTACAACTCATTAAATTCAAGTTTACATTCTTTATCTTATGATATTTTAAATCTTCCAATGTGATCTCATAAAGAGTATAGTGAAAATGTTACAAATATTAAAGAAATACATTCTGAATCTAAAAAAATAGACAAACAAACTTACAAGGTAATTTTATAATTTTATATAAATTAAAAATTTAATTAATTAAATTAATTAATAATAATTTTTTTAGGAATTAAAGGTAAATGCATTTTATTAGAACTTAATACAATATGATTTTCACAATCATTTCCTACAGATATAATATATTTATTTTTTGAAGAAGTAATACCTGCAATCTACTATTATTGGTCTGGACAGTTTTTTCCTACAACAAAAA